CCCAAAATTTAACTTCCTCAGATACATGTAGTTATGATGATTTTTTTCTCCAGGGCCAGGTCTGGTTGAAGGACAAAGAGGCCACGCATTGCAAGCTGTGTGAAAAGGAATTTTCGCTTTCCAAAAGGAAGGTAAAACTTGAACAAAATTTCTCCAACTTCTTTGCAAGTAATGTGAGAAAAACATTAATTGTGTTAGGGGTTTGGCATGAAATGTCAACCATCAGGTGAATGCAGAGGTAGTTTTAAGATGCCTTTCTAGTTCTGTGTATGCACAATGCAGCTGGGCCCTGATTTTAAGAGGAACAGTGTCTCTTGGTGCAGTGCCACAAAGCAACATATGTGAAAATTATTCAACTACTTTGTGGAATCATCATCTCAAACACTTGTCAGCTCCAACACTGTTACAGTTGGACACGTATTGAAGTCTTTGCATGGCATTTTTTATACAATAGAGTAAGCAAATACGAGTTTATTGTCATTTTAAAGTAAAATGTGATTTAATTTCCAGAATTAATGTGTGCAGGAAGTGTTGTTTAAGTTCATGTGTTAAATCTTGATTAGCTACCTGACAGAGAAGCATCCACTGTTTAGAATATCATTGCTCATACTTTATATAGCAGAATATGCTCTTAATCCAGAGTCTGAATGAAATCTGCAAAGTGTATACATGTGTATGTAAAGAAACAGTAAACAGATGTGGTCCTAGATAGGCATGATTTGTAGGGTTGGAGCATAGTTTGGGATGTAGGTGAATTGTCTTTTGAAAACTGGTTCCATGCTCAGAGCCAAGAAGTGAATGGAGTCACGTTTTGGATTGCTCTGTGTGTTGTAAATTTAAAATTTCAATATTCTCCCCATTATCTAGCATCATTGTAGAAACTGTGGAGAGATTTTCTGCAATGCCTGTTCTGACAACGAGCTGCCCCTGCCCTCGTCACCAAAGCCTGTCCGGGTCTGTGACTCCTGCCACGCAATACTGATCCAGAGGTGCTCTTCCAACGTGCCATGAGGGTGTTTTACAAGGTGCTAGTCCTGGTATTAGCTAATCCTGTGAAAACCCAGCACCAAATAAAGAATGTACAGCAGTATTTCCAGAATTTCAGGTAAGCAATGTAGAGTTGCAGCTTTGAGGTACTGTAGAGAGTTAACTTCTCTGCTTCCTCTTGAAACACTAGGGGAAATGGGGCCCAAACGTAGAAAATGCACTTGTGAGAAAAACCCAGATGAGAATGTTGGTCTGATGAATGGCTCAGCAGCTCTCTCGGAGAGGGAGCAGCTTATAGACTCAGTGCTAACGTGTTTGATGAGTATCTTAGTTGTTAAGATGATCTTGGGTAAGGTGATGCACTTACTGGCTGTTACAGGCCACAGAATTCATCGTTGTGAAGCAAAACTAGTCTTAAGTTATATTTGTGAAAAGTAATGCAATTAATGTAGTGGTCCGATAAGTTATTGCCAAATACCATATTTGTTTGCTTCCTGTTAACTGCCAGGGTCTGATACACCCAAGGATCCTGCACTGGCAGCTGTTCTGTGCAGCCACAGGTGTGAGGGGAGGTTTGTCAGATGGGAGCAAACGGTGCCTCGGGGTACTTGCTGAGGGAAGATGTGTTTTGCTGAGTGATCTTTGCAAATGAACTATTAATTTGATCTGTCTGTGTGTGTGTTAGAAGAGAATTGTCCATTATAAACTCTTTGCCTGACATTGTCTATAATCTTGAACAGATCTCTGCATTATTTCTATTCAAGTCATGCTTTCAAGCATGTTTGTGTAGTGACTGGGTAGCTCTAGAAACTACCAAGAAACACTGGGATTAAATACTGGGGACCACATCCTTTCTGTGTTGGACAGAAAGGTTTTCCTTATTTTGTCACCACCTGTCTCAAACTTTGAGTTTATTCCTAAACTTCATGTTTTTGCAGAGCCCTTCTGAGTCTAACCACTCTTGACATGCATGGTAAC